AGCAAGCATGCTGGCGTCCAATCCTTCCGAAGGTGCTGTGGATGCAGTCGTGTTCCAATTGTCCCTGTGCGAGTATTGTATTTCCCCTCTGTTTTCTTAGTATCATGCCTTGGGGCTGCTTTACCACCTCAGGAAAAATGACCGCCTTGCAGTTTCCAAGATGCTGAACAAATTCACCAAATCGGGGCTGAAATCCCAGTTTGCCTACTGCATGCTCATCCGAATTGCCAGTCGCCTCCTGAAGGAGTCCGAAGTGGGGTAAGCCACTTGGCTGTGTGTGTTGCTTGGTCAAACTATATACTGTTCTTTTCATGTTACCTAGCTAAGGGGAGGCTCGCCCTCATAAAAATTCTTGGAATAAAAAGACTAGGGATAGAGAAACAGTATGGGGTTTTTGCAGGGAGTGTGAGCTGTGATCATAGAAGAATAGGGTTGGAAGGGACCTCTGGAGGTCATCTAGGCCTTTTCCTGCCCAAGGCAAGATCACCCCTACTCAAACCATCCCATACAAGTCCTTGTCTAACCTAGTCCTGAAGCTACCCAAACAACCTGTTGCACAAGACATTGACCCAACACACAAGGAACACCCTAACCTGCCACAGGGAAATCGGGTACAAGGGTGTTATCTATGTCCCACTGCTGCAAGCATTGTTAAAATGCATTTTAGAGCTCTAAAGAAGAGGACCTCACAGAGGAAGGCAAAACCTCACAGTCTGTTTCAGTCTGACCATTATTGACTCCAAGATGAACATGGGCCAACAATGAGAGGTCACAGTTGGCAGGGCTAACTGGACCTTGCCGTGCATCCACTGGTGCATCTCAAGTAGAGCCAGGGAGGTGACCCTCCCCCTCTATGTGACGCTGCCACAGCTGGAGTACGGCGTCCAGTTCTGTGCACCCCATTTCAGGATGGATGTGGACAACATTGAAAGGGTCCAGAGGAGGGCCACCTGCATGATCCGGGGACAACAGGGCAGACCCTACATTGAAAGACTGCGGGACCTAAACCTGTTCAGCCTTCACAAGAAAAGGCTGAGGGGGGACCTGGTGACTGTCTATAAACTCACTAGGGGGGACCAGAAGGGTTTAGGGGAGACACTGCTTCCCCTAGCGCCCCCTGGCATGACAAGGAACAATGGACACAAATTATTGGAGAGTAGGTTTAGATTAGACATCCGCAAGAACAGCTTCACAGTCAGGGTGGCTAGGAGCTGGAACCAACTTCCTAGGGAAGTGGTGCTGGCTCCTACCCTGGGGGTCTTTAAGAAGAGGCTTGATGCCTACCTGGCTGGACTCATTTGAGTCCAGCTTTTCTCCCACCCAGGCGGGGGGTCGGACTTGAAGATCTACAGGGTCCCTTCCGACCCTACTTCTATGATTCTATGACCATGGAGTGAAATTCCTTCCTGATCCCAAATGTATTCCAGAGCAAAGGGCCAAGACCCTCTAACCAAGAACCTCTGGGTTTTAGTCCTAGCAGGAGCGCACGTGTGTGTGCATGTGACAGCAGTGTTTTCTCCACTTCACCAACAGTCTAGTTGGGATGCTTGAAACTGGATTCAACAAAGCATTAGCAAGACGTAGTAAAAATCTGCTTGGGCAGAGACAGACTGGCTGGCCCGGTTTCTTTCCAACTCTGGTTTCTCATCCTAGTGGAATAAGGCTGTGTTACTTACGATCTTTAGCTCTAAGGTTCCTTTGTCACTGCAAACACCTCCCCAAGGTGTTTCCCTTTCGAGTTGTCAGAGATCAAATAAGTGGCCAGACAAGCTGAGAGATGAATGTACCAGCTCCTAGAACTCTGTGATGCCATGTTGTTGGGGAAAGGGATTCACCCTACATTTGGCAGGGATGAATGGTAATTTGAAAGGGTTGAGCTGTATCGTGGCAGTGTCAGCACATTAATGTGACTTGACTGCAAGTAAAACTCAGACCTGCCCCCCATTACCATGGCACTTGTTGATAAC